TGGGTCTTCAACGCCAGAGTGTAGACAGCGCCCGAGTCAACGGACTCAATGGTAGCCAAATCCTCTTTGTACTGCTCCATCAAATCGGCCAGCTTCAACATGAGTTGGCCGCGTTGCCTGGCCGACACCTGCTTCCAGGAGCCAAAGAAAGCCTTGTGAGCGGCCTGCACCGCCTTGTCCACATCGTTGGTGCTGGCACAGGCCACCTCGCAGAGCACCGTCTCATCGGTGGGATTCACAATATCCAGCACACGATTCTTTTCGGCATCCACAAATTCGCCATTGATGAACAGCTGTGTGGGCACTCGAATGTCGCGCTTGTTCGCCTTCAGCTGGAAGCCCTTGTACTCCACCTGCTTGCCACCGGCACCGCCGCTGCCCTGACGCAAGTTGCGAACAAGCTGGTCGAAGAACTCGTCGAAAACGGGCGCCATAAACACATTCTCATTCTCCAGCGGCACATCAAAGGCGTCCTTGACCTCCTCAACCAGACGCACCACATCCATTGAGCCAGCGCCAGCGGCAAAGAAATCCGTCGCTCCTTCAATGGGCGCCTTTAGGATGGCCTGCCAAATGCTCGCCAGCTGCACCTTCTTGGCCAGCTCGTCCTCGCTGAAGTCCGTTATGGGCTGATGCTCAGCCTGCTTGAACCAATCGCTGGCATTGATCATTTTGGTGCCACGCTTGATGCGACGCACATTGACGAAGGCGCCGTCGGTGCCCTCGATCAGGAGGCCGCCCTCGTGCACCCAGGCGGGCTTGGCCAAACCCTTCAGCTTCAGCGCTTTGCCATCCTTGACGGGTCCCGCCGAATAGAGATGGGCGCCAAAGAAACGCACCTGCTCCTCGGTGCCATCGTCGAGCACCACTGTGGCTACCGCTCCAGGCACCGAGTCCAAGCCGCGCACAAAATTAAAAATTCCCACAGCCGACTGGGCGAGGCAAAGCTGTTGATTCTCCACCTTGAACATGGCTGGATCATAGGTGGCGCCCACCTCAGTCTGGACTATCTTGGGCGCTGTGCCATCGGCTACCATGTCCACGGCCAAGCCCATGGCCTTCACGCCCTCTGGGTAGAGGAATCTCTTATATATGGTGTCCAAGGTGTCTGTGGGTTCGAGATTCGTTTGACGCTGCAGCAGCAATGGGCCTGTGTCCAAGCCATCATCGGCCCAGAAAATGCTAAAGCCAGCGACCTCATCGCCCTGTGGAGCAGCAGGAGATTAGGAATGTGGATTTAACTAAGAGCATGTAGAGCTCACCTCAATCAGCGTCCAGGATATGGCGCTGGCGCCGCGATGCCTGGGCAATATAGATGGATGATAGCAAATGCTGCCCAGGCGAGCGCCATCAATCACCTCCATCGGTATAAACTGTGAGCAGAAGGGCAGCACGTTCAGCTCCGCCTTGACCGATCTATATTGCTCCAGCACCTCGGGCAGCGGCACGCCCTTGCGCCGCCAGCTGGCAAACTTGAAGACGGGTATATTGTGACTGGCAGCTGTCGTGGCCAGCACATCTTCGCGACTGCCCTTGTCTGGTATGGTGAAGACACCCACCACCTGGAACTTCGAACGCTCCAATATCAGCTCCAACACATCGGCAGCGAAATTGCTTTGACCAATAATCGCAATACGCAGATTCGACTGTAAAAAGTAATGATATCGAAATGGAACACGCATTATAAATTTATCCAAAATGAGGTAAGCTGATTCATTCAATATATGTATATATGTATATATATAAACAAAACCCTAAAAGTAATTAAATTTAAAATTTTATACATATGCACATCAAATTTGTCTTCTATTCAAAAAATATATTCTATTCATTGTTACGCACAGCTACGAAAGAGCTTAAAACAATTTTACTTTAATTTGTTGCTGGTGCTCGATTGAAAGTAAATCCATAGTAAATTTATTGAGTCCAAAAAATTGAAGGAAAATTGAATATATCTAGATAGAGATTGAATACGAATTACAAGGGCGGTGTCGTATCGATTAATGAATCAGTTTGTAAAGCTAATAATAATTGTCTTCTATAACTGATAGCTAATAATAATTGTCTCCTATAACTGATTTTGTATAGAGGAAGGTCAGAAAATTCTATAGACTCTATAAAATAACCAGATATGTATGTATAGAGCCATAAATTATATATGAGATTGTTTTGGCATCATGAAGGAAAATAGGGAAGGTAGAAACTTGAAATTGAAAATTATTTTGTCATAAAAAATATGATTTAAATAATTAAATATTGTTAAGACTAAGCGAGTGCATACATGCATATAAATATTGTATGAGTAGCAAAACTTATATATTTAATTAATTAATTTAATTTTGTATGTTATTTTTTTATACATATTTTTTTGTTTGCTAGTTTTTATTTAGAAAAATTAATATGTTTCAATTAAATGTACAAATAACTGAATTTTTAAATAATTGAATTATTGCATATATATTTAAATATTTCATTTATTTTTGTTAATGAATAAAAAACATTGACTTTATAACACAATTCCACAAACAAAAATCTTCTAAGCTTTTAGTTAAAATTAGGCCGAAAACACACAATTATTTTTAAAGCCTAATTAAAGAAAACGAGCTACTAAATATTACTTAGAGAAATTTGTAAACTATTTATATATATAATTTAAGGCATATAAATTTGTATACTAACACTCATAATTGTGTAATTTATATGATTTCCTCTCTTCACACGCTTTCAAGACAGATTGATTTATTAATAATTTCTTTTGATTTGCTTATCACGTTGGAAATACTTTTTCCACTTCAGTTTCACTTGATGATCTATAGAATTATAGTTTTGTACGAGTATTATTTAAAAGAAGCCGGCTGCTAAGCGCTTGAACAGCTACTCTTAACTGAGTCGCATCAAGTGCTCGGCTCGTATTTATACCTAGACCCGGGGCAAAATATTATCAGCTGTTTCTAGCAATAACAAAAAATATAATAAATAAATATATATTTCAGCTTAGGAATGCAATCGGACTCACACACTTTTACTTTTTCAATATTTGAATGAAAAAAAAAACATTTCGTTGGACAATTCGCTTATCAGCGACGTAAAGCTTCAGAAAGTAATTTTGGACAAGCACAATGATAAGGCTTAATTCGGATGTGGAGGCCGACGACAAGTGGAAAGTTTGGTAACGAACCCCTCTGAGCAGATTTCTAGTTTTGTTTGTCGCGGCAGGCGTTTTGTATTGAATTACGCGTATTGCCTAGAAATATTTGAACTTTAGATTGACAAACTGAAAATCACAAATATATCACATTCTGTAAATAATTTCCGGCTTGAACTAGTTATTGGGGCAGCAAAGTGTAAATACTATCAGCGATTGGTGTGAAATGCATTATTTGTAAAGGGCGATTGTTTATAATCACATAATCAAGCAACGTCTCTAATTGGCGTTAATATATAGATTAACATAAAGATTTGCTGTAGATTTTGTTAAATCATCATGTTTGGTGTAAAATTGTGTCGATCGGCAATAATTGAACAAGGCATAGTCAGACGAATCTGCTAATTAGTTGACACACATTTTATATTTGATGCCAACCCTAATCTCTAATTAACAAGACTTGTTAATTAAATTATAAACTATTATATTTCATTTCGTATCAAACAAACAGTTTAGTTTCCTTAGGGGCGGGACTCAGGGTATCTTATTTCGGTCAGAGCGCTCTTATTACCACACATATAGAATTATAAATAATTCTTTTTT